CTGCGGCTCGGCGGGCTTCTTGGTCGCGCGCACCGATGGCGATGCCCTGGCCGCCGCCGCCGCCTCGGCCTTTTTCACGCGGCTCGGCGTCGACGATGACGGGGTGCCCGTCGACTTGCGCGCGCCGCCGTGGCAGTATTTGCAAAGGCAGTTGGAGGGTTCGAGGTCCGGGTCGCGCAGCAGCCACTCGAGGTGCGGAATGGCCTCCTTGGTCGAGCGAAAGCGGTGTCCCTTGCGGGCTGCGGGCGGGGCGAGGACGGGAGCAGCAGGTCGCAAGGGGAAGGAGGAAGGACGGCAGCCGGCGTCAGAGCGACGCCAGACGTCGGAGCGATCGGACTGCGCCGCGGCGCGGCGGCGAGGACTCACCAAAGAGGTACGGGTCGGTGCGGACGTTGTGCTTGGGGCCCTTTCGCTGCTCTGCAAAATCATAGTTGGCCGGAAAGTCGTACAGCTTCCACTCCTTTTTGTCCGCAGAGACTGCAAAGGCAGCCAGGGTGGAGCGACGGGCGGGGAGGGGAGAGAATGAGAGGAGAGCCGTCAGCATCCGAAAGCGACGAGAGAGCAGCCTCAGCGTCACCGTCGGACCACCCCTTCAGCTCACCTTTTGGCAGGCCGAAGCTCTCTGCGAGCGCGCCGCCGATGGCGAGCCTCCAGGACTGATGCCTGTCCTCGTCGCGATCAAAGATGTGGTAGTAGTTGACCTCGTGGTCGGTGGGCTTGGGCACCGCGAGGTTGGGTGGGACAAACTCCGGATCGCCATCGGAGCGCGAGAAGACGATGAAGCCATCTGGGCGGAAGATGTCGGCGTCGGTCGCGACCTCTTGGTAGGCCAGCATGCTGGGCGACGGTGGGCAGGGGCAGGCTAGGGTGATCGCCGGTGCCCGTGCTCGGTTTGCTGGCGTTGGTGCAGATGCTGCTGGATCGGCGGTGTGGACTCGGGGCGTCGTGTCGTTCACGAATGAAGCTAGGTAAGTCGAGCTAGCGCCGATGCTCGTGCTCTGCTACTGCTGCTGCTGCTGCTACACTCTTTGCTGCGCTGCGCGTGGAGCAAGAGCAAACGAGTAGGGTTCGAAGTCGACGCGAAGCTCGCCCGAGACCGGGGCGCGGTGCAGAGCAGAGCAGGCGACCCAGGTAGACAGGGATGCTGGATGGGTTGGAGGAGCACCAGCGGCGTATAAAAGCAGAGCAGGGCAGTGCAGGGCCGTGCAGAGCAGAGCAGCGGGCCACGGTGGTGATGGTCGCGTCGGGATCGTCGACTGGCGGGAGGTGCTGCGAGCGTCCGGCTTGGGAGAGGGCGCGTGGAATGAGGCAGGCGGAGCTGAGGCTATCGCATGCTGATGTTGTCGACGTTGGCAGCTTGGACGGTGTTCGGCGAGGGTGGCGGCTGGCGGTGGTGGTGGGAGGTGGTGAAGCAGGGGCTGGCGAGCGAGGATAGACGGGCAGTCAGGGTCGTACAGGCCAGGATGGATGGTCTGGCGCGCTCCTCTCTCTCTCTCCCCCTCTAGGCCCGGGTCTCGGCGGTCTGGCCTGGCCTGGCCTGTGTGTCGGCTGGGTCGCGCCAGAAATTGGCAGGACCTCGCGTCGCGCGTAGCCTTGGCAGGTGGCCCAGCTGAGGGCAGCACCCTGCCTCGACCCTCCCTCTCTCTTCGCCACGTCCACCGACCCCGCTGGTCTGGTTTCTATCACTCTGTTGCAATCGGGGCGGGCGAGAGTCTGCGAACGGAAAGCGTGGCTGTTGTACATGATGATGACGGCGGCGAACGAGGGGGACAAAGGGGGGAGGGCGACTCCGGGGCGCTCCGGGGTATCAATCTGCGGCGACGACGGCTAGGCAGGCCTTCGTCGCTCTAGAAGTCGGTCGAGAACCTCTGCTGGCGCGCCTGCCTCGACTCCTTGGCGATGGCGTTGCAGTGCCGCTCAAACAGCTCGACAAACGGACGCAGGCTCGTCTTTTCCCAGTCCGCCCTGGCGGCCGCCGTGGTCGACGACGACGCTGCGGGCGCCTCTTCGCCGCCGGC